GCAGGCTCGAGGGGCCAGATGGCCTACTCTTGCTCCGAGTTCTTATGTTCTTATGTTTTTTTGTAATAACACCTTATTCCAAGACTGTGACTCCTAATTGTAGAATCCCCAGCATTTATCAAGTCCCTTATATTTTATATGCCTCAGAGAAATCATCTCTTATTTTTCTAAACTCCAGGAAATATAGGCATAGTTTCCACAAACTCTTCTCATGGGATAATCCCTCATTCCAAGAATCAGGCCGGCAAAACTCCATATTGCACTCCATGTAAAGCAGATATATCCTTCTTTAAAGATGACGTGGAGGTACCAGTGTTGGAGTGGGGTGGACAAAGTCAGAAGTCACATGATGTCAGGTTATAGTCCAGCAAGTATATTTGAAACCACAAGCTTTTGGAGCACTGCCCCTTGTCAGGTAAAGACATTGATGAAGGCTTTCAACCCAGAACATTGACTTCCCTGCTCCTTGGACTATAACCTGGTGTCGTGTGACTTCTGACTTCTTTAAAGAGACCAAAATTGTACACTGTACTCCAGGTATGGTCTCATCATGCCCTGTAAAATTGCAATAAGGCTTCTTTTTACTGTTATATTTCAGTCTCTTTGTAATAGAGTTTAGCATACAATTTGTTTTTACTCACCACAGTTTGTTTTGTTTCTATTTTCACATACTTTCTCCATTTTACTCTTCTCTCTTAAAGACATCACTGTAGCTCCTTGCTGAAAGAAGAATTCTCAGCCAATTCAGTATTTTATCCAAATAGCTTTCATTCATGTTTAAATGGTAGTTCATGTTGAGAAACTGTTCAGATATTTTGGGCACCACAATGGAGTTCCAGTAATGGAGCTGGAAACCTTGCTTGTTTTTCTTTGCCTTAACAATGGGCTCTGAGGCAAATGGTGGTCTTCTTACTATAAGTCTGACTAAGATCAACTAACCAACATGAAATAGCATTCAAACTCTTCCTGGATTGCATTGTTGATCATTGGATAAACTCTCAGAATCATTGGCAGAATTTTCCATGTATTTTTAACATGCTTCAAACCTTCGATGAAAAATCAAACAACAGAAAGTCGGAAGTTTCAAATTTTGACATGATTGTGGAATGTTATTTCATGTAAGTTTTCCTCAACTTGAGCTCTATTTTACTAAAGTGGCTTTGTCCCTTGTAGAAGAGACAGGAATGGGTGAGAAATAAAACTACCTTTAGGTGCATTGGTGACACGGTGGCTCAGTGGTTAGCACTGCTACCACAACAGTGCCAGGGACCTGGGCTCGATTCCACCCTCTGGCAACTGTCTGTGTGGAGTTTGTACATTCTCCCCAAGTCTGCATGGGTTTCCTTTGGTTTCCTCCCAAAGTCCAAAGATGTGCAAGGTAGGTGGATCGGCCATGCTGAATTGTCCATGGTGTCCAGGGATGCACATGGGAAATACTGGGTTACAGGGGTGGGGTAGGTCTGGATGGGATGCTCTTTGGAGGGTCAGTGTGAACTCAATAGGCCGAATGGCCTACTTCCACACTATAGGAATTCTAAAACTAAAGAACTGAATTATCAGCAGTATTTATTTTGAGGGTAAAGTAAAAATTAAATCCCTTTTTCTCACCTTCCTCTTTCTTTCAATCTCATTGTAATAGTAGGTTAACATACTATTTGCCTTCTGAGTTGCTGGCTGTATGCACAGCAATTCTTGGAAACATTACTAACTAATTATTTTTCCCGGTCCCCCTCTCTCTGAACTGTTCACGATACTTATACTTTGTAGAGATTATAGTTAGTTCATAAGCATTGGAAATGCTATTAATAATGGCTGTATATGGTTTAAAAAAAAACTAATGATCCCTCAAGTATCCAGGAAGAATCTTTTCAAGGTTTGAATCTTTTAAATTGTCGAAAGATAATAGAACTGCAAGAATTGATTACTTCAACTATTATTTCTAACAATTCTGCATCTCGTGATAATTGGGGATTCTTCATCATATCTACACACAATCTCAAATTCTCGGTAGCAGCACACCTTTAAAGCTGCAGCTGACTTCCTGGTGACACACTCAGTCTCATTCACCACTTGGTGCTTATGTAAAATATTAGGGTGAAATCAGTGAATGGTATTTTATTTTTGGGGGTAACTTTTTAAACATCAAGAAATGTAAATCTATTGTAAAGGAATTTGAGCATTATTGATGGCAGCTAGAAATGGGAATGCATTTTTGCAGAGCTGACTGGAAGTGATGAATAAACAGGGAAAAGAAACAAATATTTTGTTGTTAGATTCTTTACGCTTGGAAGTCTTTGTTCTAGGTAACCTTCAAAAAAAATGCAGAATTGCCGTGCATGAGGGATGTGAATGAGTACACTTATCCAGAATTCTGTTAGATAATAAAAATACAAGTTGTAGCATAGAATTGTTGACTTCCTGTCCAAAATACTTTACGCAATGGCACATATATATTGACACTCAGGATGAGCAACTTTGCAGCAACTGAACTCTGATAGCTGTACCACCTGGTTTCAGGTATCCTGCAGCCATAATTAGCACTGCCTTTTCAGTAAACTTGTGTAAAACAGTCCTGGCTTTAACTTATAACCACTGGCTCTTCATCCTTAGAGAGAACCACGTCAACTTGCTACACCAACATGAAAATAATGGTTGTGAATGTAAGATCTTCAGGCAGTACAATTTGTTCATTTTCCATCATTGCAGAATTATCTACCTTTTGGTGGAGGAGGAATTGGAAAATACCTTCTTGGAAATCTAAAACATGGCTGATAATCTGCTGGTGAAGTGGAAGTATAAAATAAAATTGCAAACAAGAAGACTTCATTTTCCTCAACTTCTGAGTTATGATATATTCCATGATGTAGATTTCCATTAATAAAGGCCTCAGTGTTGAACATGAGTAGAAAGAGATGAAGGAGAACTGCTAGCAGTGCACACACTACAGGCAGGAAGAGAAGCACAGAAATAAAAGAGAAAGGACTCAATAAGTCTGGTTGCATCTGTAGAAGTAGAAACTGGGTTAATGTTTAAGGTATGATTAAATACCAAGCCAACATTAAACATATGAGCATACAAAATAGGAGCAGAAGTAGGCCATTCAATCTCTCAAGCCTGCTCCATCTTTCAATAAAATCACGAGTAATCTGCCTGTATTTCGAACTCCCATTCCCATCTATGTCTGACAGCCTTTGATTCTCTTGCCTAACAAAAGTCTATCTACCTCTGATTTAAAATATATTGAATGATCTTGCCTCTACTTACTTCTCAGGACAGTAAAGACATGGATGTGGTCACATTATTTGCTGAATAAAGTTGACCTGAAGGATTACAAAGTCATCACTGAATAGAGATAGTAGGAACTGCAGATGCTGGAGAATCCGAGACAACAAGGTGCAGGTCTGAATGAACACAGCAGGCCAAGCAGCATCATAGAAGCAGAAAGGCTGACGTTTCGGGCCGAGACCCTTCATCAGAAAAGGGGGAGGGGAAGGGGGTTCTGAAATAAATAGGGAGAGAGTGGGAGGCGGATAGAAGATGGATAGAGGAGAGGATAGGTGGAGAGGAAACAAACAGGTCGAAGAGGTGGGAATGGGGCCAGGAAAGGTGAGTGTAGGTGGGGAGTTAGGGAGGGGATAGTTCAGTCCAGGGAGGACGGACAGGTCAAGGGGGCGGGATGAGGT